TGAAAAAATTGGTAAGCTGAGGGGGGGTCATGCGATTTTTAAATAGTGCTTCCCAAATCCCACCAGCCCCCCCTCCCTCGTAAAAAATGAACGGTCCCTTAGTAGTCTGATCTACATCAGGCTCGGGGAGAAGGCAAAAAAGGTACTCTATGATCAAATAAGCCAAGGTTTGCACATGCACCGTACCGTGAAGCTATTCATGTGATTCAAATTTGCGATAATGATCACGGCAGCTGGTATGATAAGACATGACTGGATTTAATGTTGCTTGGAGGGGAGTCATAACGAGACACTCCAACAAATGATACAATTACAGCGAATAATAATCGATCACTACTGGCACACCATTTGCTACAAAACAGCAACTTTTCACAATCAAACGTTTTAAGATAAAGGAAAGAAATTAAAGAACAGTGAAGAAGAAAAACAGGTTGAAGTAGGTATAAGGATTAACATACCTTCCTTTTCTTCTTCGTTATTGCTCGAGTCGTCAGAAAACAGATAACTGCGCCACTTATGATAAAGAACGCCATCGTGGACGCGACAAAATACTTTCCTTGTTTATAGATCTCGCCTCTGTATTCATTGACATGAGCATCACCAAGATCGATATCGGATAGCGGAACCGAGAACAGCATTACGGTCACGATACTGATGAACCAAATAAGAATTGCGCAGACCAGAGCTTTCGTGTTCGACTTCCAGGCAAGGTACTTCATGTCAAACGAAATGGCCAGGAACGTATTAATCGTCATGGCGAGCATCGAAGTGAGGTTGAGAACCAAGAAGACTCGATTAAAGATACTAGTCAGGATTCCCAAAGTCTTGCCTCTGAACCAACCCGCCTCCAAAACAGTGTAAGTCATATACGACGGCATGTTGATGACTGCATTAAAGAGATCCACCAGGGCAAGATTGGCGATGAGAATGTTCGGAACTGTTCGTAAAGATTTAAATCGAGCAATGACCGCGAGAACGAAGCCATTACCGAGCACAGAAGCTGAAGTCAGAATGGTTGTTAAAACGCTCATGGCTACCTTGGTTAAAAGTGGTTTTGCTGGATGCATTTTGCGTGTTGCGATCTTACGACCGCGAGAGCTAGTGTGGTATCATAATTACCGCTTGCAAACATAACATCTGCATAGTACTAAAGATTTCTGGATGCTCAATTTCCTGTAAGGTATAATAGCATGAACAATAATCATGGTTCGTGCAGATGTTTATTTTGTTTTGTTTTGTTTTGATGTTTTTTTTTTTTGTTTTTTTTTCTGAGTGGGTTTTGGGTGGTATTTGGCAATAATTAATAGCGCGAGTTACATTTCAAAATTGTCCAAAATATCACGAGCCGCGAAGCGCTGAGTGGTATTTGATTAATTTTGAAATATTACGAGCCGGTATTATTGCAAAGTACTAGGTGCAGGTCATTCTATTATTTGTTTTAGTATAATTTCCAGTGGTAAATATGAGAATTGAACATTCTGATTGGTCGAAAAGCTCGGTTTATGATGCTACAACATATATGAGCTTTGTTACAAAGCTCGCCACCTTTGCCATCTCGGCAAGTGAACATGGCAGACAGTTGCTGTACGAAATTTTCATTTATTCGAGAGAGATCACTTTAATTCTAGGATATTAAAAAGGATGGAGAATTTTTAAAATGAACGCTGTCGACCTTAGACCAAAAATCTTTTCAAGAACTCGTATCCAAGGCTTTAAGAATCGTAAACGAAGTGGTTTATAGTGGAACTAGGGCGGGCCGAAGGTCCGCCAAGCGGAGCACCATAAGTATAGGAACAGGATCACATGCATGCATAGAAATAAAAACCCATGCAACTCTTTTCTCATGGTCAAACTGGCTAGCGGCATGGATAGCGACGAGGAACGACGACAACATCGCGCAACATGGTGGCCATACCCTACCAAGTCATGCAGTCTTGGTTTACAGCGTATATCTTTGATATATATCTTTGATATATATCTTTGATATAATTAAATAGGCATAAATAGGTATCAAATGGTCATTTTTGCAGGGGATATTCTTTTCTCACTAATACAACGAACACGATTACTGTAGAGTTCACAATTCGTATATTTCTACCTATATTATAACCTCCACATTTTTCTTGGAAGCAAACAAGTTCAACTGATTGATAGCTATCTACACCGTGTTGTTATTGCAGTGCAGACTTAGCGTAGCGAGGTTCGTAATTTACAGCAAGACTAAACTTTTTTCCTTTCATCAAAGAATGACTCTGTCTCTTGAAATCCCGTTGAGAGCCGTTCTGGAACCGATGCCGTCAAGCTCTCGCGAGAAACCGCCATCTTCCCTCGGAGACATCAAGTCCAAACGAACTGCAGGCTCATGAATAGGTGCGCCCGCGTTTGCAGTGCTCAGCAGGTCTGAGAGTCTTTGAGGAGGTTCCCGGATTCTGTTTGACCCAGGCCGACTCTTTTCTAATTTAAGTCTCTCGAATTCACGGTTTAGCAGTTTTCTTTCCTGTAAGAGTTGTCTTTCGCGATTTAGAAGCGTCGTTACCTGTGAAAGAGGAAAATACCGTAACTTCAGTAAACTTGTGATAAACGTTGTACGAGGCCCATTCTAATATCAGAGAAAAAGAAACATATTCTAAGAGGTTAATTAAAGAAAATGCGACGACATTTTGACGGGACAAAAACATGGCCTAACAAACAAACAAAATATAGGCGGCTGTATTTACAGCTGACTACGTTTGAAATCACTTTTTTTCATTTGCAAAACACCACCTTCCCCCGCCAAAAATAAATAAACAAAATACATAAATAAACAAAATAAATAAATAAATAAAAACCTGTGAAATTACCTGCAGTCATTTTCAAGCTAAGGGCGGTTCTATATTCAAGAATTACACAAGGCACTTTTAAGAAATCTAAAGAATGCAGTATGCACAGATAGTGACAATCGTTCGAGAGCGACTTGTGAGAAGCAAACGAAACATTTTATCGTGACAGGTGGCAATTATTTTCCACGGCCCTAAAAGCAAAGGAGTTGCGGATCAGGTTACAGGGACAACTAGCAGGGAGAAAAATTACGAGTCATTCTCACGAGGTCCCAGCCTCCTTGGACATCTCGTTCGGGTTCGCTGATACTTGTTCATACGTCATGCCCCTGTAACATGTCTCCTCTCATGTTAAGACTTAAGTATTAAGGTAGTCCTTCACATAAGCCTTATTGGCTTCTCTAGGCTTCCTTGCCTATAATATACATTGATGTGTTGTTATTACATTTAACAAGAAACAGTTCATAATGTTCTTACGATAAGACCCCTCGTGTGGAACGACATTTATGACCAAGTAACGATACAAAGTGGAGAGAAAAATTATCATAGAAAAGAAAAAGAGGTAAAACTTGTTCCTCACCTGAGAGCTGGCTGCATCCGCCCTCGTTTCAGCATCGACCACCATACTCTGAAGTTTCTCTTGAGACAGTTTTGACGAAGAAAGTTTGGACTCCAGCTAATAAAACACGAGCAAGAAATTACAGGAACCAGGAATTAGACACCACATTACGAACTACCGCATTTCTTTGTACCATTCTTTAGTATCGTCCAACTTTTATTCATTAGGAAGACAATTCTATAAACATAACAAAAAAACAAGACATCACGCAGACTACTCGACGTGTTGCCCTTATATCTGTTATTTTCCATTGTTATTTTCCAAAAAGTTGAATTAAAGCTGAGTTCCCTAGTTTTTAAGGATCGTTACTTTCGGAAGTTCACAGCATGTTATTTTTTTGGCTGTTCATACCTGCTCCCTTTTCTGTCGTTCTTCGTTCACCTGACGGTTAAGTTCATCATTTCGTCTCTTCTGCTTGTTAATTTCTTGTCTGATGAAGAAGATAGTACAATTCCTTTCACTCGCTTGGCTATTCAACGTCTAAAAGACTCTACACCTGGGGTTTTGGTGCCACTTGGATGAACGTTATTGCGTCGTTTTTATTTTCTAAGATCGCGGAGCGCACGAGCGAAGAGTGATCATGCGAGAAGCGAATGGACGCACGCTTGACTTCTGCTCGCTCTGCTTCGCTTGAAAGCTCCTGCTTATGCACTTTCACTACCTTTTAAGTTTAGAGCAGTTTTCAATTGAGTGTCGTAAAACCAAAACTAAACCAATTACTTACCAATTAGACTACTCAGCCAATCTCAAACCGTCGTAAAACCAAAACCAAAACCAAAACCAAA